GTCCGTCTCACAGCTGTATCTCTGGAACGGGTATGTAGGGGTCAAGGTTTTACTTCTCACTGGAACTCCCAAATACCCAAGAGTTTCCCAACAACCTCCGGTATCGTCCCACAAAAGACAGAACGACGAGCCCATCACCCTCCCCAGGGACCGCGGTAAGAGGAAGATTTTGGCGGCGAATGTCACAAGGATCATCCGCCATGGCTTCCTTCAGGTGCGAGCTAGCAACACGTCAAGGGTTTTAAGCAGCTCGATGTCGCTTTCTTTCTTTCTTTCCTCATCAAGTTGTCTAGCATTACCCTTTGGGGAGGTCCATCAACAGACATGTCTTGCAACTAGTCTTTAATTGTACGTTATTTCTCGCTCTTGACAATGTCTTGAAGGCTGCATTTGTAATCTCAAATCCATCTTCCCATTTCATTGAGAAAACATTCTTGAGCAGAAATCCTTTTGGTTTCATCTCATTCATTATTCTTAGGACATCCACTCATTTTTAATACAATTTTTCCTCTCCCCGAAGCTCAGACATAGTCAAATTCACATGCATTATTCCCGGATCATTCCTCCCGGCCTTTCTCAGGTCCTGCCTATTCTCTGCCCATTCTCTGCCCTTTCTTGCCCTTTACTTAATTGACTTTTCATGTGCAATGCTTGGTTCACCCCTTAGCCACTTCTCATCTTTTCAAGCTTATACGAGCCGATTACACAGCGAGCTCTCAGTCTGCCAGTTCCAGTTCATACCATGTCACTTGCTCAAGCCCTTTCTGCGTTGGCGTCTTGCCAGACCCTCTTTCCTCAGGCCTATACAGAGTCAATTACAATCTTTTTCTGTTCCGGACATCTTGACAGACCCCTTTTTCCCAAGCCCATGCAAAATCACTTACCAGTCTTATTTTCATGCGTATTCGTTGGTAGATGGCACACCTTCCCCCCACTCAAAACGCGATGTCCCCATCGCGTGACTGGTTCTCACTCGGAGGTACGCAGACCTTTGGCCCGCCAACCGCAAGTCAAGGACACAAGCGCATCCGCTTCACAAAAGGAGGAGTGATCAGTTTCTCCCCAGCGAATGACGCCTCATCCTTCTACTCGGTTCGACCTTTGTTCTCTCACGTGGCGAGCACCAATACTGAGGTTCCTCCCCGCGTCTGTCAGGTAGGTCCAATCCAAGCCTGCCAGGGCCTTGTCTAGCCGTAAAAGTGTTCCTCGCGAATCGTTCCTCCCGAGTGGTGATATTCTGGATTCCGGCCTCTTCCTTTCAAGAGAGTTGGGGCTCTTAATAAGTCCGCGAGTGCAGTTACGAAGACCTCGCAATTAGTCCCGAAACGATTGTAATGTTCCGACAGGGCAGTGTCAATGCCTTGTGGTGGTGGCGGACTTCACTCGGTACCTCGCTCGGCCTCTCCCCTTGGATAGTGCCGCCCAACTTAGTGCGGGCAGCCGTGGTCCGACCCAAACGGCCATGCGACCCCTCTATGACGTGGCGTGTGGTTGGAGAGTAGCAAAATAGACTAGATGAGAATGACTTTCCTGCCCATTTGGCTCTCTCGCCCTTTGTCGTTTAGGCGTTCAGCAGGAGGCGCAGTTGGAACTCCCCGACTAGAGCTCATTGTCGGAGGTGGTTCCGGACGTCCCGCACCGATCCAAGCGGTAGGTGCCTTAGTCCTTTAACCCTCACCCTCTCGAAGAGGAACGGGTCGCGCTGAGACTTTTTCCCTCAAAGTGATAGAGGTCTTGGGGTCGCGGTGCATGCACCGGTGTCCCCCTCTTGCTGAGGCCAAAGACTTAGAAGAAAAAGAGAAGTTTCATTTCAAAGCTCTTTCCAAGTCCCATTCCAGTTGCCTAGGGTCCCCTGTTTATGCAATGCAATTTCCAATACTCAATCCAATTTCAATCCTCAGTCCCATTCCTATGCTCAATCTCAGTCCAGTGCTCATTCTCAGTCCAATGCTCATTCTCAGTCCAATGCTCAATGCAATATCTCTTCCAAGGCTGAGTCCAATATCTCTTCCACTGTCTTTTCCTAGGCTCAGCTCTTCCAATGTCTTTTCCAAAGCTCCGCACTTTCCAATATCTTTTCAGAGGCTCAGCTCTTCCAATGTCATGCATCTCAAGCAGTCATGCAAGGGGACCCCAGTGCCAATTCCAAAGAATAACCCTTGCCAGGGGCTATTCCGAACAACCTGGTTAGGGTTGTTCTTTCTAATTCCAAGTCGAACAGCCTGGTTAAGGTCATTGTTATCCATTGCAATCGGACAGCCTGGTTAGGACCATCCTTGTCCATTTCAATTGGACAGCCTGGTTAGGGTCCTCCTTGTCCATTTCAATTGGACAGCCTGGTTAGGGTCATCCTTGTCCATTGCAATGTTAGCGCCCGAGGGGGTGGACCTCGAGGACACGGATCCTATCTCGTCTCGGGGGTTAGGAGGCGGCCATCGTCTTGGGTTCTTACGCATGCTTCTTCCTTTTTCCTCATGCCATTTGCCATTCTTACATCCATGCATACATCCGACTTTGCGTCTAATGCTCGATTTGAGGTTTGCGACCCCAAGCAACACTTAGCCCGCTCGGCCGTTCAACCATTGCAAGGGGTGTTGCATCATTTCATTGTTTCCCTGCCACTTTTCAGACTTCTCATATGCTTTTCAATGCTCTGGGATTGCCTGGGGTAGGTTGGATTAGGCTCCTAGGGGAGAGGGTGCCTCTCTACCCATAGGTTCCCTAACCTCTCACGAAGACTCTTGCAACAACTCATTCAATCATGGTTACACAATTCAAAAGGAAAGCTTTCGTCATGAATGTTTCTTCCAACGCTCAAGAGTTCACCTGCCGCTGCTCATAAAGACAACCAACCCCCAATCACTTTCTTACTACCCAAAAGCTCATATTTCCCAAACGGAGCGAGTACTTATACCAAGTAGCTCTGATCACCCACCCTCTACTAGCTCCCTCAATCCAAAAAGTAGTTTCATTGCAGTCCTTACAAGGAAAAATAAGGAGACAGAGTTCGAATGCAAAGGCAACATTACAGACTCGTCTTCGTCTAGATCCCCGTTGTTTCCCTTTTTTCTTTCCCTTAATCTACCCAGTCATCCAGAATTATATTCTAAGAGCAAAACCCTCATGCCTTTCCCTGAAGAAGCAACCATTCGTATGAAGTAGCGCTGACCACCCAGTCCTTAGTCACTTCGAGCTTAGAAAATTCATTCACAAAAGGAGTTCAAGTGCGAAGTCCAAAATGGCAGCTCCGACTGCGCAGGGACCAAAACCCTCTCGACTCCTAGCTATTCCTCATTACGGCTGTTGTGCCTCTATTGTCCAGGTGGCCTGCGTTGAGCCTCCCTCGTTGCGCGATCCTCCATTTCCTGCTCCATTTGCCTCTTTATTCCTTGGAATTGGAGGAGTGTCCGTTCTGTGAAGAAGGTTGTTGGGGATAGATTCTCTCCCCTGCCCAACTTTTCCCTTGCCTTCATAATCCACTGATATCGCAAGATAGTGCCCCATTGATCAAACCAATCACTGAACTCAGGTCCGAACTCTTCTGTCCATTTGTCTTCGGCTGCTCCCCTCTTCCCCGTTCTTCCCTTGTGGGCGTTGTTACCTCATCTTCCTCCTCGTCGTTGGTGAGGTCGATAAACTCCACGGGCACATCCTCCTCTAACCTTGGCCTTTTCCCCGGGTTCCTCTCTTCCTCACTGCTGGTGTCACTTTCCGATGGGAGGACAATTGGCTCCCCCTCCCTTGGTGGTGAAGGTTCCCTAGTCCCTTGCTTTCTCCTCCCCCTGTTCACAACCAAGTTGTGATCAAACCCCACGTACAATTTTTTTTTCCTGGAGCTCGATTCTCCAGCCTGCCTCGACGACTGTCCCTCAGTAGGCCTATTGATGGCGTTGCTGTCGTTTTCATTTCCAAATTTCATTTTGCCGTTCGCTGTTTACTCCCTGCCTGGTCCTGTTTATGCATAGCAATCACCACAACCCCCCCCCCATACACTCACATTCCTTCCCATCCCCATTTGCATATTTTTCGGCCTTCTCAGAACCCTTGCTTGCCCCCGCGCAGTTAGTGGTCCCATCCTCCCTTATACCCCTAAGCACACTGTCCCAACACATAGCCGCCCCATGTAGGCAGTCCACAACATCATCCCTCAAAAACTATAGTAAATTGTCCCAGCACATAAATACCTTGTATAGACAGTCTCTAGCGTTATCCCACAAAAACTATAATACACCGTCCCGTGCTCCCAGGCCCAATCACAGTCAGCCCAGGCAGTCTCCCCACGTTCCACAAAAAGCAAGACACACAAACGAACAATCCCTGTGGTCATGATCACTTCCACCGGGAGGCGGTCCAGCACTTATAGCCGGCTGCCTGCCTTTCAGGTTGTCAATTCCCTAGTTTCCCTGTCCTGGGCTTCTTGTAACCATTGTTCCACCAGATCCCTGCTAAAAAATTTGGCCAGTCTCTTTCCCGGAAATGGTCCTCTTATGCTAGTACCATCAAGATCCTCAAGTTCGAACGTATTCAGTCCCACCCGCTTAGCGATCCTGTAGGGCCCTTTGAATCTCTTTCCCAGCTGCTCAGACCATGTGCTTTCGAGGGCCGATTTTCTAACTAACACTTTTTCTCCCACCTGGAGTGGCTCTTTCCGAATGTTCTTGACCTGGTCCCACCTTGCTTTATCCTTCATTCGGCTATCCATTACACGGTTAACTACTTCTGGCAACGTGCAGTGATAAACTCCTCCGTGGTCAAGTGTGGATTATCGTCTAACCTGTTCCAGGTAGGGACGAGGGTCTCCACTGGGAAGTCAATCTCCCTTCCATACCATAGCTCCACTGGAATGCATCCCGTCGTTCTCTTTGGTGTCATGTTCTCAGAGAAGACTGCCTGCTTAAGGTATCAAGGCCAGTTCCCCAAGTTGTCTGCTGCAAGCTTAGCGATTGTGTTTTTCAAGGTCCGGTGCCCCCTTTCTACTGGTGCAATTGCCTCAGGGTGGTAGGGCTCAGTGATCTTGATTGGTACGCACAGTGTCTTAAGCCTGTTCAATACCTCCTGGTTAACGAATTATGTCCCATTGTCTGCTATAAACATGCGCACGACGGGGTGACTTAGGTAGAAATCTTCCACCCAATCGGCCACTGCTTTCCCCGTCTTCTTTTTTAGGGCTACGGCCTCTACATAGCCACTGAGATTATCCCTTGCATCCAAGATGTATCTAAACCCATCCGTCGATACGGACATAACCGCAAGATCAACAAGATGTCCGTGTCCCAGTACCCGAGTGGGTCTAAGGGGCTCGTAAACTCGTACGGAGCTCCTTTCTTGACATATCAGACACGTTTGACAATACATTGCGACCATGCCTGCCATCCCTGGCCAAAAGTACAGGGGCACGATCTTCGCAAGTGTCCCCTTAGACGACCGATGACCTCCAGCTAGCCCGTCATGCATTGCCTGAATTACGTCCAGCTGCCTAGACCTCCCACAAACGACGCGTCTAGGCATCATCCCTTCCTCTTTCTTGAACAGGTGGTCATTTCTTAGGACATACTTTTCGACTTCCTCCCTTGCCTTGGGACTGATTTCCGTGGGCTGTTTGTTCCCTACAAGCAGCAGACCGATTTCTTTGAAGACGCCCTCATACATCTGTATGAGGAAGAATTCCTGTTCGTTCTGATCCGTACCCTGCTCCTCCCGAGTGAGGTTGACTAGGTACTGACACTTCTTCTCCGCCCAGGTTTCGGCCAACATCATTACGGCGTCCCGTCCCCCTTCCACGGCCATCGCCATCAGCTCTCCCCTGGCCCCTACTTCTGCTCCCCACGAGTCCTTCTCCTCTTTACGCCTGACCGTGGTGACTGGTCCTTCCCCGAGTTCTGCAACTACTGCAGGTGCGCCTTTTTCCAAGGTCTGAATCAGCAACTGACCTGTTGTAATCGCTGGGTCTGCCATCTCATTATCCACAACAAGGGTCCCTCSTTCGTATTCCAGGAAGGYGTCAATTGGTTCCTCGTCCTCTACTCCTTCTGGCGTGATACATACCCTGCTCAGCCCATCTRCCCTATTTCGGAGCCCTGCRATCCGCTCGACCTTATAGTCGAATTGCCATGTGAAGCCTATCCATCTGCCAACGGTCGGATCTATAGGCTTGTAGTTCTTTAGGGCCCCGACAACGTTGGTGGGATCGATCCTTAGGATAAATCGCCTTCCGAACAGGTATGCCTGGAAGGTCTTAAGAGAATGCAGAATCGCTAAGACCTCCTTTTTGAACTATGAGTACCGCCGTTCTGCCGAATTCAGAGTCCTACTTTCAAATCTGATTGGCTTTTCCTTGCCCTCCTCACTTCTCTGTATCAATACTGTCTCTTATACACATCTAGATGTGTATAAGAGACAGGTCTTAAGAGAATGCAGAATCGCTAAGACCTCCTTTTTGAACTATGAGTACCGCCGTTCTGCCGAATTCAGAGTCCTACTTTCAAATCTGATTGGCTTTTCCTTGCCCTCCTCACTTCTCTGTATCAATACGCCTCCAACTGCCAGTGGTCCCCCATCTGTTTTTAAGTTGAAAGGCCGTCCTACCTCGTCATTGAAACAGGGTGCTGCTAGAGTGACCTGATCGGATGACAAGATGTCTTTCACGGTCTGGGCTGCCTCTTCCCTATCCTCGGTCCAATCCATAGTGTCACCTTCCGTAATCATCGGGCGGATAGGTTCCGCTATCTTTTCGAAACCTTTGATGAAGATCCTCCAGAATCCAACCACCCCTAGGAAGGCTCGTACTTCCGTCGTGGTACGCAGAGGTGTCGACCACTGAGAGATCTTATCAGTTTTTGATGGGTCGGGTCTCCTCCCATAGGCCCCACAGCGAAATCCCAGTATAGTTACCTCCGGGACAGCCAGGATGCTCTTGGGTCCGCTTCTAGTAATATTGTAAACTAGGAATCGCTRGAGCAGGTCCTTAATATCCTGCAAGTGATCCCAAACAMACTTCCGTACACMYGGTTGGACTTCCGCCTCGTCCTTGTATCTTGCACCTTTTACAAGATTATCATCTATATAAGGTTCACACTTTTCCGAAAACATATCTCCTGCAACGGCGAGCATCCTCCTCTGCGCTTCTGCTATCGCATTTGTGAAGCCCATAGGGGTCACTTSCATCTGCAGCTGTCCTACGGGGGTGTCCATTGCGGTGTACGGTTTATCCCTCGCRTCGAGCGGCAACYGATCATATCCTGAGTATAAGTCTACCAGGGAGTAAATGCTCCGCCCTGCATGAGATTCTGCCAATAAGTCGGCATGTGGAAGCGAGTCTGCATCCTTAATTGTTACCGCATTTAGCTTCTGCAAGTCYTGGATCCACCTGAGCGTCTTATTGGGCTTCCTGAACACGAACCACTTGTTCGTGTAGGGGGATGCGGTGGGTTCAGCCACGAAGGAATCTATCTTGGCTCTAAGCAGGTCGTTGACCTCCGCTGCTATCCCAAACTCATATGCGGACCCTTTATCATTCCAACACTCGTGCTGTACGGTGTGGATCCTGACAGGGGGAACTAGCTTTTCATCCAATCGCCCTTTCTGATGATCATTGAAAGCGAAAGCTAAATGGAACTCCTGGCACGCCTTTCTTATCAACTGAGTCTCTTCCGGTGTKAGGAATCCTTCCACTCCTATTTTCATGGTGTTTGCTACATCATCTGGTATGCGATGACCTTCCGTTGCACGTCTCTCCCTTATAACCCGTAGGATCTCCTCCTCTTTTTCCATGGCCTCTTCCTTTGATGTTTCTACTAGGATCGAGACCGGCTTGGCCTTCTTTCCTACGGGTTTGTATTTTCGCACACTGCCTTCTAGGATCGTTCTCCTAAAAATGAACGGTCGGGATTGACCTTGCTATTTCCATGATACGAGGCTGAATGCTAACTATCTTCCCATTCAGGCAGTAGCCTTTTCGAACCTCATCCTCAAACTTGGCAAGCGCTGTCGGGTCCACCCCCACTTTGTGGTACCTGATTGCCTTAACAAGTTTCAACAGGTTTGGGATTTTGAGCGCTAGCTCGGGGGTCTCGTTACGGCCTTCCTTTGGCTTGGGCAGGCTGGCCCCAAGTTCAACTTCCACCTCCTTTTCCGCCACCATAACCGTCGGGGCTCGTCCTCTGGCCTCCTCTTCTTTACGGGCAGACCCATCTTGATCCATTCCGTTTTACTAAAAGCCTCCTCAATCATAATTTCTACCCTTTCCCTCATGCCTTCCATTCGTGCGAATGCCCCCTTCCGCGCACTTTCTTCGAATGTTGGAGACCAAGTTGCCAATTTGCCTTCGGAGGGTCCCCTCCGGTCCCAAGAAGTCGGAGGAGTTCCCCGCGGCCGGTCACTGGGTCCTCAATGTCTACCATGTATGTGTCGTCGTGCAGATGCATTCCTATTATTTCCACATTGGCGCACCACGGTCTCCCGAGGATTACATCGTGATGCATTTCTTCCATCACGGTCATCTGCTGAAAGGACCAGATGGATTCCCAGATTCCCGCCCTGACTGCATATTTGGTGACATACCCTGTGAAAGGAATTTCGCCACCGGCTCTCCGGATACTCCCTGCTACTTCCTTGTTTACCGTGCATCCCGTGATCGTATGAGGGTGATTTGTGCTCCGCCGTTTACTAACGCGTCAGTGTGGTGAGTTCCGATTTGAACTTTAAGTTTCCCTGCTGGTAATGCATGAAAGTTAAGCTTTGTCCCGGGTGGCGCCCTCATGACTTCGCCACCTTCACGATCCGGTAGGCTTAGGCGGATTTCCGCAAAGGCTTTCTCCAAATCTCCCAGGCACCCTGGAATGCTTTGGAGGTTGGAGACTCCTTGCGGCGCCTCGGCCTCTTCCGTGTCCTGCTCTTGCAGTTCTGGGGCCTCCTCTACCTCTACGCACTTACGCGTTAGCAACTGCCTGAGTCTTTTAAGCAGCCTCGGGCTGGCTTGCAGCATGGTCTGAAAAGACACCGATACCATGGTACCCAGTAGCTTGCTCAAGGTGCCATCGATTTCTGGCGAAGTCAGGATCGGAATTTGATACCTGAACTTTTTTTTTGCCGCCGTAGCCTTGTCTACCGGTTCGTCCTCTCTTGGCTTCCCATAGACCTCTTGTTCCCCGGCTTCGGTCTCTTGCTGGCCCGCGTTAGTCCCTGCGAGTTCTTCCATTGCTGTATCTTGAATAAGCTTCTTTTCTGCGCCGGCCCGGCGTGTGGTGATGTTTACCCTATCCTGGCCATTGCCTTCTAGGATAAAATTGGCCTGTGGTCCCCGTCCCCTTGGCTGGTCCCAGACAATCTCGGTTATCGGCTCTGCTTCTACGGCAGCTATCTCTAAGTTATTAAGGAGGATGACGGCTCGCCGCATCCCTCCTAGCAAGTTCCAATTGACACGCTCCCCCCTGGGTCCGAGGATCTGGCCTTTGAGGGACCTACTGCACCTCTGCCGCTCGCTATCATGATTGAGTCTCGGACAGGCCCGTACGAAATGTCCGATCATGGTGCAATACTTGCATTGTTCGTTAGCCGGGTCCCTCCTGCCAAATCCCCGGTTTGCTACAGCTACCGGAACCACGGCCTCTTGGGGCGGGAGGGCGGGAGGGCGGGTCTGGACACTTGCGCCTGCATTACTAACAGCGCATTTTTCATTCTTTCCATCTTGCTATCAACCCTATGCACTCGCTCGTGCAGGCTTTCTATCCCTTTCTTAACCTTATCTCCTGTTTTCCCGGTCAGATCTATGACCTCCCCTTCCTTAAGCAGGGCTAGTGTCTCGGTGACCACTGTCTTTTCCGCAAGGTCTGTTACAGTGCTGAAGTCCACATCTCTCGTGTACTCGAAATACTGGTCTGCTGGTATGCTGACAAAATCTTATCCTTATCAAACTCGGAGAACCGCCTGAGGAAGTATTTACTCATTATGCGATCCGAACTGCAGCTAATTCGGCCTCTGTTGCCATTTTCTCTGCCTTCAAGTATTTCCTCATCATTTTATTCCTGGTTTCTTTCCAGGATCCACTGGACGCTACGATGGCTATAATGTCCCTCCCCAAGCTTAGCGACACATGCTGCCCTAGGTGCTCCATCTTTTCCTCTTCCATCCATTTCAGTAAGGCTGCTAGGTTCTTATAGTCTATCAAAAACTCTGTAATGTTTGCCCCGTCGAACGTGAGTTTTTTCTTTGCGTCTGCGAGGTACCCCTGGTTCTTGTTCAGTACCCGGGTGAGGGTGGCGACTATCTTCTTGAGCCCACCTTCGGATCTACCCCCTTCCCCAACTGCACTAGTCCCTTCTCCCTCCTTGCTTTCCCTCCGCTTCTCCCCGGTTTTCGGTGTTCCTTCCGGGTCGAACCACCCTAGCACCCTTTCCCTAAGGCTCCAGAGTCCATCACACGCCCCCGTTACTTTCGGCGTGACGGGCAGTCGGCTAGTGCCGCTGTCAATGGCGAGCGGGGTCATAGCGTTTTCCGTCCCTTCCACCGGGGGGTCGTCCTTGTCCTTCCCCTTCTTGTTAGGCGTTCCCTTATGACTATTATGCTTTCCTTCGTACCTGGCGTCGTCCTAGCCGATCCTACATCCTTCACGTGACCCTGGGTCCTGGGGGTCCTCCTCATCCCCGACCATCATCTGCTCGATAAGTCTTGCCTTCAATTCTGCAGTCCGCTTTTCTATCTCTGCCAGTTTACGACGGGTATCCAAGACTTTCGTCTTTTTAGGGGTGGCTCCTGCTGAGTTCCGAGGACTTGTTCTCATATCGTTTCCCCCTTCCCTGTTTTCCTGAGGTCCCCTTTTGCTACCCCCAGCTTTCCCCGAGCTTTCTCCAATTGAGGCGTCCTTTCCGTCTTCTCGGGTTCCTTCCAGTTTGGTTGACTCTCCATCCCTGGCTGTTTTTTACCTAGCCTGCACATGGAAATTTTTTTTGTGCGAAAAAGCGACAGTTGTTCATAACTGCCCTAGTCCCGGCCCTAAAAACCCGCCTATTCCCATGTTTTTGCGTCTTACATTAATCAGTACGATTCTTCTGACTTTTCTCTCCCGGGGCGTCCTTCAGGTTTTCTTCTACCGGAGCCTTGCCGCCGCCGCTTGGCATTTCATTACTGTCGCGCTTTGATTCTTAGGGCGGTGCCTGGGCCCAGTGGCTTTCCTATCGGGGATGGCCCTTTCGGCTTATTGACATCCAGGTGCCCCATAATCTTTGGAGCGGGTGGTCTTCCTAGTTCCTCCCTGCCGCATCATTGGTTCGGCCGAAACTCCAACCACTAGCCCTCTTTTGTTGATGGCTGCCTACTTATCTTAGTATCCATCCTTTATATCCCTACTTCTCCATGACAAGTTTTCTCATGTTGGTCCCTCATCCGGTTCCTCGAACAGGTCAGCCAACCCACCAAGGTAATTTTCCCCCATCTCTATTTCCCTGATAATTATTGGCTCATATTCTTCAAACGACAGGTGGGGCAATCCGAATATCAAGATCTCGAGTAATTCGAGTAGTTCCCAAGCCTGATTCCCCAAGAACAGCCCATGTCTGACCAACACATCGTAGAACATGCTCGTTGTTTGTGGGCGGAAGAGGTGGATCCAGACTAGGGTCGAATCCACCAGGTCCCTAGCTCTCTTGAGGCTACCGAATACCAAGTCCACCATGAAACAAGGTACTCGACACCTCAACCCGGTCATTGGGGCCTTAAACTCTTTCCAGACTCTGACCTCCACCCGAGTTCTTAATCCCACGTTCCTTCTCCCCCGCACTTCCTGGTCCACCTTGTTCAACATCCTAGTAGCCCTCCGGAAGATTGGTAGCAACCCGTGACCTGGTGCCAATTCCGTTCCTAGCATGTACCATCCAAGTTCCGACAGGTATATGGTCCCCGTTACCCTAAGATCGGTATACAGATCGTCTCCCGGTCCCCTGTTAATTCTCATACCATCCCACAAACATTCCACCATCATGAACGCCTGACCTCTTCCCAGGGTCACGGCCCTCCATTCGATGTCCAATCCTTGCATCATGTAGCTTGCTGGGAGCGATACCTCCCATCCGCCTCCACTTTCCGTGGGTGGCCGCGGGTGTGTGGACCGTCGCAACATGACCTCTTTTATTGGTCCGTCCTTACGTCCATCGGCTCATACAATTGGTACAGATCATCCACGTACACCATCCCTTGACTTATTTCCCGTCGGATGACACTCCACACGACCTCACTCCCCACGACCGGAGCCCTCCGCCTAGTGCTAAACACAGCACGCAAGATGCGCAGGACCTGGTACTTCTGCTCTCCACTGAATGGGCCTATTTCTATGAAGGCTCGATAGTATTCTCGATGTCCCATCGCATCTTCGTATGTCAGGCTTGCGAGGTCGACTACTGCTCGTCTAACAAGTCCCAGACCGCCCAACCTTTCCAGCAGGAAGGGCGGCAGCCTCATTCGTACATTTTCACTAGCCAATTCGAAACTCCCGACCATGGCTACCCTAAGGTCCGCTATTACATCGTCAACCCTTGGATCTGCGAACTCAAATCCCGCTCGCCATACTAACTGCCATGCCCCTTCAAACATGCTCAATGGGTCTTCTCCTGATGTAAGTCGGACTCCGAACTCCCTCCACCCATCCTCTGACACATACAGCCGTCCTTCTGCACGCACATGCCCCCTCATGTCCGGGTTCCATTCCCCATTCTCATCCGCACGCAACTCAACTTTCGTCACCAGGTAAACCATATTTTCTGCAAGCTCGACCCCGACCCAATCTGCCACCTGGTGCCAGCCTTCACTTGCCGCCGGCAAGCTAACCTCTACCCCACCCGGTACTTCCCTAGGTGGTTCAATGCCCAAGGGGCGTTCCTCAAGGAACATCCTTCTTCGCGCCATCACACACTCACCTTCGATGTCCACGCTCGCGGTCCACATTGAACCCTACAATGGTCAGACATCCCATTCCCTTATCTTAGCAATTTTTCCCATATTTGCCTGGCCCCATGACTTTCCTGCGCTTAGTCGAACCATAATACTTCGAACAGTTTGAACACATCATCCACATAGTAAGGTGTTGCTGCTACCTCACGGCGGATTATGGCCTCCCTAGTTTCCGGGGCCACCTCCTGTCGGTCATTCCTTTCGATATCCAAAATGATAAGGACCTCCCGAGCTCTATCGCCATGGAAGGGCCCGTATTTCAAGGACGTCCTATAGAATTCCCCCGCCAGCCATGCGCAGTTTACGTGTATTCGCTCCATTGCGTCGGCTACCTCTGTTACGTTATAAAAACCCCCAAACCAGTCCGCCATGAATTCGGGCACCCAAGTCTTGATTCGGGCGCCAGGCGGTTTAAATTATTTTCATCCTCCCATCACGACTCTACTGCTGACCTTATCCCAACCTTTGTTAGCAAACCTTTCCCCCGCCTGCCGAGCCCTTGCCTCAGCGTCCCCTAAAAGCCACATCGGGTTCTGTCTTGTCGCAAGCGTTGTGCAGAACAGTTGCCAACCTTCTTCAGAGAGAACGATCGTCCCAACTGATTCCACCCTTCCTTCCACAATCTCTTCCCATCCTTCCTCCTCCCTCAACGGGTTCCAGACACGCTTTATCCATAGGTACGATAGCTCCGGCACAATCTCATACCCGCGCCAATCACATGTGGTCCCCTTCCATTCATTGCTCAACGGTATTGACATCTCTACTCCCCTTCCGACTCGTCTTGGTTCCCATGTGCAGCCCCATAATTCGAGTTCCCGGGCCATCCCTCCCTACCTGCACATAGTCGATAACCCGTTTTCCTCAGGTAAGCCCCCCCCTCAAAAGTCCCAGTCCTCTATCTCGTCCCCGTCCTCCTCATCACTGAAATCCTCCTCCTCATTTAGGAACATCTCTTTCACCCCTTCGAAGAAGGTTTCCCCCGCCGCCACGTTTCGGTAAACTATCTGCCAATACACCGGACTAGGAACAAAGACTTCGTCCGCGATGAGGAGGTTTAACACCTCAGCTAATTCTTCCGCCCAGTTTTCTTCAAACGGCCCTGCTTCCACCGATAATCTAAAGAAGTCTTGTCTAGCACATTGGTACAGCCTCAGGTGTGTCATCGATTCGCATATACGTTCCAGTCTATCCCTGGTCCCAAAGACTGTATCCACCAGAAACGGGGGTAGCATGCACCTCCTTGTCCTAAGAGGACGTCTCATGTTTTTCCGGTTCCCGAGTTCCACTCGCACCTCCATCCTTTCCATCTCCATTTCTGCCCGCTGACATGCTGCCCATACCACTTCCCGTTCCGCTTGCCTAAACAACTGATCCGGTGCCGTGCCCAATACTAGTCCCACTACCATTGCATTTTCCAATTCTTTTGATAGGTAGACCCTTTATCGAGCTTCCACTGTCCCCCGAAATTCTAGGTCCATCAAGCTAGGTGAAAGTCTCGTTAGGCTGACCTTAGTCCAGATTGACTCTATCCAGAGGAACGCGTCCTTATCGTCCAGCATCGCGGTTTCACAGGCCGGTTCTAGGTCGGTCTACGTCCCCTCTTCCGGAAGAACAACAGATACCGCATCCCTTACCTCTATAGGCATTTCCAGACCACTAGAGTAGACAGGAGGCGACAACCATCGCGCCATCTTGTTTCCCGGCGCTTTGTCCTGTTTTCCACATGAGAGCACCACACGGCCCCTTATGGTCATATGGTTTGCTTTTCCTTTTCTAGATGAGAGTTGTTTTCAGACCCCTCATCCGGGTCTCCCTAACTTTTCCTATCCATTTTCCAGGCGCCACTGCCCTATCATACCCCTAATCGATCACCAACCGCTCGCATTCCTTTTTCTTGGTTCCACTTTTTTTCCGACTCCAATCGGCCTCTTCCTCATGTTCCCTCACTCGTGCAGACTTAGGCCGGGGTTGAGAATAGACTAGAAACTCGGTCCCCATTCAACATTCATCAGGCAACTTTAAAGAGGGAGGCACAAAAAGCAAAACTTAGGCAAACGTCGCACATAGGTCGGTCATCTCCTCACCGACCTTTTCCCCGGAAATGGTCTCTCCACTGTTACTATCGGCAGGGCTTTACCCCATACCTCAATTACAGCTCAACCGTTGCGGGCACGACACCCAGACTCCAGTGGGGGGTCGCCCTTACCTTCTTGCCCAGAATACCCCATCCCGACTTGCCGCTCGTGTACCCACCGTTAATCTCAGGAATCACCCCGCACATCTCGGTAGGCCATAGGAGTCAGTCGTTCAGGCATTCACTTCCATCGGTCCGATAAGGAACAATCTTTCCCAAACTTGGCTACGAGAAGCTACTAATCGTCTCCCAGGCTCCGTCTTTGCCCCCATGCAGTGGTGCTCCCTCCGCCAGTCCACAGGCTAGGCCCCGCCTGAGGAACGTTTCACACCCCGCCCGGCAGATCAATCGAGCCGAAGCCCGTCACCGCGCGGACGAGAATGCAAATAAGCACTCGACGTGACAAACTCTCGTTAGACAGCTCGGTGGCCTGACCCCCGCATACGAACAAATGGCCGTCTGCAAAGAGAACGATTTTTGGCAACCCATAGTGGTCGGTGCAGACCCCCCCCTTCCTTCCAAATGGTAGGACGCTCGAAATCCCAATTATGCAGTCACAAGTCCCAAGTGGGACACACATAGTACAAGTGCCTTTCCCTTTGTGCACCCAACGCTTCCTACCCATTGCTCACAGGTTTTCACTCAGGACAGTATGTATCAACCACTCAACCCTAACTTCCACACATTGTGCCCGGTTCCTTTTCGTGAGCATCTTCAAAGGTGAGTTAGTTTTCTCGAAGTCTAGCAACTCCGTTCATTCCCCTTATCTTCACTTGTGTGTCCGTTCATAGGGCAAGACTGTTCCTTCTCGATTATCTCTTGTGTTCATATGTTGTTCCTTCAAACATTTTAGTATAGTGCATGGATCCCGCTGGGCTCCGAAGAAGAGGAGAAGGCACCCGTATCGGTCGGATCGCTCCGCCGCGGGATTTTCATTGGAACCCGGACTGGCCCGGAATCCCAACCGCCTGCCAGGTAACCGGAGCCCTTCTTTCACACGAAGAGGAAGGGTCGACMTKCRGCTTRCCCAAGRCTTCCCCGGTCTGACAAACATCAGCCCGAGAGAAGGAGGACTAGAGTCACCTCCAAGGGAGATGGCTGATCAAGTGTGCAAACATGCATGTTCTTCCTCCAGGCCTGGCCTTGTCATACGCCCAGCCACCCTCAAATCTGATTCTCTCAAGGGATAGAGCATACACAAGTCCATATTCCTTATCTTCAGTTATGTACACGGTCATGCGTCGGGCGCCCCCCTCGAGATCATTAGGGCCAGTTTAACCCACTACACGACCCGTCCACCATTTTTGTAGGGGCCGTACCCTGAAGGACTTTGGAGCCTTGGTCGACCCCACTGCGGGTCCCACTTGGCTCGACCCGCCCACGCTCAGGTTCTCGGCGCGGGCCGTTCGTCCCAGGGGCACCCCTACCTAGTGCTATGAGATGGATGGGGGTGAGCCTTGTGCGAGAGGGCTTTACATTGGGGGATGTAGCTCCGCTCTCGCGTCAAGATGGTAGCTCTTTGGGTACTCGTGGCGTTTTCTCGATTCAGTTAAGTCTGACCAGACAATTGTTCCTTCCAATACACAAGCAGTCCAGGGAGTTCATTGAGAGTTTGTCTTCTTATCGTGCGCAGACCAAGCGTCATCCATTGGGCCACGCACCTTTTCTCTAAGCCTAGCGGCTCTGGGCAGCCCCGGCGGCATCCTTGGGGTAAGGCGGCATCGGCCGGACCCCTAGGTGCTATATTTTTTTGCGAGAGCCACTAGCATCGCATCACCAATCCAAGACCGCCCTTAGTTTTTTCAGGGGTCGCATTGCACATGAGAGAGACATTCCATGCAACCTCCACACAAGCCAAGTCCATGCATCAACCATCCACCCTAGCGCCCGACCTCAACTCATCCCGTATCCATGGCTTAAGTCGGATCCAAGCCCTTTCCTTACCCAATCTCCCACCCTAGTCCTCATCCACGAGTCCAACCCCGTCCAAATCGTCCCTTGCTACTCACCTGCGCAAGACCACACAAGACAAATGACCAACTACAATCCCCATTGGGGTCAACACATCGCCCCTTCCCGCAATCCTAAGTCGCCTTTGCCTTCCAATTCCCCTTATGAGTTCCCTTCCCTTTCCTACAGGTAAGCCACGCGATCGCCTCAGTCATGCATTCCGGAGGGGATGGTTGAGGCAAACTGACCTCGTCCAAAATCAGCACTCCTTTTCGCTTTCGCAAATGCTCTCAATAGTCCCGCATTCTTTCCTTCTTAGTGGCACAAGGGACTGACAACCCTTCCCTTGCCCTCGCTTTCCACCAAGTGAGGACTAAGTTCCTTTCCGTTCGTTCCCTGACAATGTAACAGGTGAGGGTAGAGGTTACTCACATGCCATGGAGGGGGAAGGGGTGACGGAAGGGTTAGGGGTTAAAGAATTTTGAATCAATGGAGAAAGACGGGGGGAGAGGGAGAGGAAGAGAGAGAGAGCGGAAGAGGGGGAGAGGGAGAGACAGAGAGAAAAAGAGAGAGAGAGAGAGAGAGAGAGAGAGAGAGAGAGAGAGAGAGAGAGAGAGAGAGAGAGAGAGACGAGAAGCTCCTCATCCTAGTTGACCTTGCTCATTGACTTACCCTAACCGATCCTATTCGAGGTCCCGTGCATCCCCCTTGCGCCCCCCCCCCCACTTTGGACTTTCGGGTGGACGGGCGAGGGTGATGGAGGAGGAAGGAGGGTTGAGGGCGGTCGGCTATGGTGGACGGGTGTGGGTGATGGAGGAGGAAGAAGAGTCGGGGGTGGTTGGCTATGGCGGACGGGTGTGGGTGATGGAGGAAGAAGAAGGGTTGGAGGTGGTTGGCTATGGTGAACG